TATATTTTCTAAATTCTCCAGCACTTCCTCTTCTATAATGTGAATTACTTTCAAAACATCATTATTCATTTCCCTGAATTTTCTAGCCTCCATTTCTTTCTCTACAGTAAAAACTGACATGAAACATTCATTTAATATATCTCCCATCTCCTGAGATGCAACATAAAGATGACCCCTTTAATCTTTAAGGGGCCTTACTCTCTCTCTAGTTAGTATCTTGCTCTTAATATACTTATAGAAAATCTTTGGATTATCCTTAACCTTATTTGCCAAGGCTATCTCATATCCCCTCTTTGCCTTCCTGAGCCTCTTAAGAATGCCCCCACACTCTTTATACAGTTCAAGAGATTCATTTGAACTCAGTTGTCTATATTTAATATATCATTGCTTTTTATTCTTGACTAGAACCTCAATATCTTTATTCATCCATTGTTCTCTAATCCTACCAGCCTTACCATTCACTCTAACAGGAGCATAATGACTCTGAACTCCTATCATCACAATTTTGAAAGCGTCCCACTTACCAGACGTTCCTTTATCTGCGAACAGTCAATTCCTATTAAAATTTGCCTTACTCCAATTAAAAATTTTAATTTTATGCAAGGCTTATCCTTTTCCATAATTATTTTAAAACAAATAGAATTATGATCACTAGACCTAAAGTGTTCCCCTACTATCACTTCAGTCACATGCCCTAAGTTTTGTTCTTTCTCTAGTAGGAACGTGTACATATTGATAAAGAAAATTTTCTTGAACATATTTAACAAATTCTTCACCATCCAAATCTTTTACACTATGGCAGTCCCAGTCAATGTTTGGAAAATTAAAATCACCTACTATTACAACCTTATTATTCTTACATATATTAAGATTTCTCTATATGTTTGTTCCTCAATTTCTATCTGACTATTGGAGTGTCTATAGTACAATCTCATCAAGGTGGTCATTCCTTTTTTATTTCTAATTTCAACCCATATATTTTCACTGGACAATTTTTCAGAAATATATTCTCTAGTTACACCAGTAATGTTTTCCTTAACCAAAAATGGCAGACCCCTCTTCTTTTGCTTCTCTTTCTATCTTTGCTATAGCATCTGAAAAAGCTGGATAGATAGATCTGAAAAATAAATTAAAAAATAGAAGTGAAGGAGTCATTTGACACTGTACGAAATCTCCTTTATCTGATCTGGTGCTATATTTTGTTTTATAATACTCCTATGAACTGCTTTGTGTTAGGGGCACTAGGTACATGCACATCATTGTTGAATGTAAGAAAATTCAGTACTCTTATTCATTGCCTTAAAATTCTCTTAAGATAACCATGTATGTCTATGATAGAGCAGTGAAAAGTTTTCAGCCTTACTGAAATTAAATCAATTTCCCAAGTACACTTGTGCTATTGTAATTTAAAATAAATTTAATCTTCACAGTCTATGTATTTATATCTTGTTATTCCTCTGTGTTCTGTAATTTCTGTTACCAGGTTTGTGATGGGAGCTGTATCACCTGCTGTAGTTGTCCCATGCATGTTGATGCTTCAGAAGGATCTCTATGGTGTTGACAAGGGAATCCCAACACTACTTATGGCTGCAGGCAGCTTTGATGATATCTTGGCTATTACAGGTTTCAATACATGTCTTGGGATAGCCTTTTCATCAGGTGAGCTTTAGAATTGAAATGTATAAACTGCTGCCCCCAAACTCACGCTGTCTGGCTCTCGAAGCCTAAGCATACCCAATATTTTTGATCATGTTTTTTCTCTATTTGCTAGTATGACCTTTATTCACGTTTTCTCAAAACTGGTAATTGGAATTATTGTTTCTAATATTGTTACTTAATTGGTGGCTATTTTAAAAATCAAATACCAGATTCTTCTCAGCAACTTGGGACATATGTAACTAAATGCAGGCACTGATTTAAGGCTAGAAATTCATGTGCTCTGTTTTTTGACACAATCATCATGATTGTCTTGCTTACGTTGGTTCCCTTTGATTTGGACAGCACGCAGATTTGATGTATTCCAACTCATTTACATGATCACAGTTCGTAGCTCACAATGTTAACTTCACATTATCTGTCTGTTGCTTCTGTGCATAGTGGTGGATAAAGCAGTATTACGCAGATACCATAGACAACAAGGTGCAGGGCTGGATGAACACAGCAGGCCAAGCAGCATCATAGGAGCAGAAAGGCTGACGTTTCGGGCCTAGACCCTTCATCAGAAAAAGGGGAGGGGAAGGGGGTTCTGAAATAAATAGGGAGAGAGTGGGAGGCGGATAGAAGATGGATAGAGGAGAAGATAGGTGGAGAGGAAACAAACAGGTCGAAGAGGCGGGGATGGAGCCAGTAAAGGTGAGTGGAGGTGGGGAGTTAGGGAGGGGATAGGTCAGTCCAGGGAGGACGGACAGGTCAAGGGGATGGGATGAGGTTAGTAGGTAGGAGATGGGGGTGCGGCTTGAGGTGGGAGGAGGGGTAGGTCGGAGGAAGAACAGGTTAGGGAGGCAGGGACGAGCTGGACTGGTTTTGGGATGCAGTAGGGGGAGGGGAGATTTTGAAGCTTGTGAAATCCACATTGATACCATTGGGCTGCAGGGTTCCCAAGCGGAATATGAGTTGCTGTTCCTGCAACCTTCAGGTGGCATCGTTGTGGCACTGCAGGAGGCCCAGGATGGACATGTCGTCTGAGGAATGGGAGGGGGAGTTGAAATGGTTCGCAACTGGGAGGTGCAGTTGTTTATTGCGAACCGAGCGTAGGTGTTCTGCAAAGCGGTCCCCGAGCCTCCGCTTGGTTTCCCCGATGTAGAGGAGGCCACACCGGGTACAGCGGATGCAGTATACCACATTGGCAGATGTGCAGGTGAACATCTGCTTGATGTGGAAAGTCTTCTTGGGGCCTGGGATAGGGGTGAGGGAGGAGGTATGGGGACAGGTGTAGCACTTCCTGCGGTTGCAGGGAAAAGTGCCGGGTGTGGTGGGGCTGGAGGGGAGTGTGGAGCTGACAAGGGAGTCATGGAGAGAGTGGTCCCTCCGGAAAGCAGATAAAGGTCGGGAGGGAAAGATGTCTTTGGTGGTGGGGTCGGATTGCAGATAACGCCATCGCTGCCGATGCCACCGCCTCCATTTCCGAGACCAACACCACCGCCACTGAAGTCGTGCCTACCGTCACCGCTACTGCGGCTGCTTACCCCGCTCCCCCCACCTCTGACGCTGCTCCGCCCATCACCGACGCGGACGCACCTCCACCCACCGCCGGCGCAACTCCGCCCACAGCCGACGCCGATGTCGCTCCTCCCACAGCCTCCACAGCCAGCAGCTCCAGAGGGGACAATAGCACCCAGCCCTGCCGAGTCTTCACCATCCCCCCAGACCTCCCCCTTACTCAGGACGAACGGTCAGTCCTCAGTAAAGGGCTCACCTTTGTCCCCCTCCACCCACACATCAACGAATACCGCTCACGCTTGGACATAGAGCAGTTTTTCCGCCGCCTCCGCCTCCACACTTACTTCTTCAACCGCGAGCCTAACCCTCCCTCTACTGACCCCTTCTCCTGCTTCCAACACACCCCCTCCTCCTGGACACCACCCCAAGGCCTCCTACCCTCCCTCGACCTCTTCATCTCCAACTGCCGTCGAGACATCGATCGCCTCAACCTCTCCACCCCTCTCACCCACTCCAACCTCGCCCCCGCAGAACGTGCAGCCCTCCGCTCCAATCCCAACCTCACCATAAAACCCGCGGACAAGGGAGGCGCAGTTGTAGTATGGCGCACTGACCTCTACATCGCCGAGGCCAGACGCCAACTCTCCAACACCTCGTCTTACCGCCCCCTTGATCGTGACCCCACCACCCCTGAGCACCAAACCATCATCTCCCAAACCCTCCACAATCTCATCACCTCAGGTGACCTTCCACCCACGGCCTCCAACCTCATCGTTCCCCAACCCCGCACCACCTGCTTCAATCTCCTTCCCAAAATCCACAAACCTGAATGCCCTGGTCGACCCATTGTCTCCGCCTGCTCCTGCCCCACCGAACTTATCTCCAACTATCTGGACTCCATTTTCTCCCCCTTGGTCCAGGAACTCCCTACCTATGTCCGTGACACCACCCACACCCTCCACCTCCTCCAGAACTTCCAATTCCCCGGTCCCCAACACCTCATCTTTACCATGGACGTCCAGTCCCTCTACACCAGCATTCCCCATACAGATGGCCTAAAGGTCCTCCGCTTCTTCCTGTCCCGCAGGCCCGACCAGTCCCCCTCCACTGACACCCTCATCCGCTTAGCTGAACTCGTCCTCACCCTCAACAACTTCTCTTTCAATTCCTCCCACTTCCTACAGACAAAGGGGGTGGCCATGGGTACCCGCATGGGCCCAAGCTACGCCTGCCTCTTTGTAGGTTACGTGAAACAATCCCTCTTCCGTACCTACACTGGCCCTAAACCCCACCTCTTCCTCCGTTACATTGATGACTGTATCGGCGTCGCCTCGTGCTCCCACGAGGAGCTCGAACAGTTCATCCACTTCACCAACACCTTCCACCCCAACCTTAAGTTTACCTGGACCATCTCTAATACCTCTCTCTCCTTCCTGGACCTCTCTGTCTCCATCTTGGGCAACCACCTAGAAACCGATATTCATTTCAAGCCCACCGACTCCCACAGCTACCTAGAATACACCTCCTCCCACCCACCTTCCTGCAAAAATGCCATCCCCTATTCCCAATTCCTTCGCCTCCGCCGCATCTGCTCCCAGGATGAGGCATTCCATTCCCGTACATCTCAGTTGTCCTCGTTTTTCAAGGACCGTAACTTCCCCCCCTAAGTGGTCGAGAACGCCCTCAACCGTGTCTCCCACATCTCCCGCAACTCATTCCTCACACCCCGTCCATGCAATAAGAACCAAAAAAGAATCCCCCTCGTCCTCACGTACCACCCCACCAACCTCCGGATCCAACGCATCATCCTCCGACACTTCCGCCATCTGCAATCCGACCCCACCACCAAAGACATCTTTCCCTCCCCACCCTTATCTGCTTTCCGGAGGGACCACTCTCTCCGTGACTCCCTTGTCCGCTCCACACTCCCCTCCAGCCCCACCACACCCGGCACTTTTCCCTGCAACCGCAGGAAGTGCTACACCTGCCCCCATACCTCCTCCCTCACCCCTATCCCAGGCCCCAAGAAGACTTTCCACATCAAGCAGATGTTCACCTGCACATCTGCCAATGTGGTATACTGCATCCGCTGTACCCGTTGTGGCCTCCTCTACGTTGGGGAAACCAAGCGGAGACTCGGGGACCGCTTTGCAGAATACCTACGCTCGGTTCGCAATAAACAACTGCACCTCCCAGTCGCGAACCATTTCAACTCCCCCTCCCATTCCTCAGACGACATGTCCATCCTGGGCCTCCTGCAGTGCCACAACGATGCCACCTGAAGGTTGCAGGAACAACAACTCATATTCCGCTTGGGAACGCTGCAGCCCAATGGTATCAATGTGGATTTCACAAGCTTCAAAATCTCCCCTCCCCTAACGCATCCCAAAACCAGTCCAGCTCGTCCCTGCCTCCCTAACCTGTTCTTCCTCCCACCTATCCCCTCCTCCCACCTCAAGCCACATCCCCGTCTCCTACCTACTAACCTCATCCCGCCCCCTTGACCTGTCCGTCCTCCCTGGACTGATCTATCCCCTCCCTAACTCCCCACCTACACTCACCTTTACTGGCTCCATCCCCGCCTCTTCGACCTGATGGTTTCCTCTCCACCTATCCTCTCGTCTATCCATCTTCTATCCGCCTCCCCCTCTCTCCCTATTTATTTCAGAACCCCCTTCCCCTCCCCCATTTCTGATGAAGGGTCTAGGCCCGAAACGTCAGCCTTTCTGCTTCTATGATGTGTTCATCCAGCTCTGCACCTTGTTGTCTCAAAGTACTCTAGATGTAGTCTCATCAATGCCGTGTATAACTGAAGCATAACCTCCTTACTTTATTCAATTCCCCTCATAATAAACATGAACATACTATTAGCTCTCCTAATTACTTGCTGTACCTATGCATTGGTATGATCATGGGGAGTCTCAGTATATGGTATTGCTGACATAAATTTCCAGGGTGATACAGTGGGAGATTTTTTTTGGCACTGGGTATGACCTCTCATCATTAGGAGCTTTGAGGTGGGTATAGATTATGAGAGTTTTAGATGTAGTCAAATTGTTTATCGCTGTTAACTTGGGGATCAGTCTGAAAAATATTTTGTGCCTGTTCATTTTTGCTTATACTTTTGTATCAAATTTACTGAAACTAAATACCATGTTTTTATTCTAGGACTTGGGATTGCAACTCTGAGCATTGCTCTTGTAGTCAGAATCTTGGTAACATTCCTCATGGTACACTTCTCAGGATTTAACATAAAGGAAAGAATATTTATTTCTTTGGCCTGGATCCCTAAAGCCACAGTTCAGGTCGGTGTCTAAAAGTGATTTGTAGCTTTACTGATCGGTATTATCTGTCTGTAAAACCATATGGAGATTTGACTATTGCTACTACTGATGGAACATTTTTTAGTCATTCATGATATGTGGACGTTGCTGGCTGGACCAGAGTTTATTGTCCATCCCTAGTTGCTCTTGAGAGGATGGTGGTGAACTGCCTTCTTTAACTGCTATAGTCCATTTTGTGTGGTTCCCACCACAATGTTGTTAGGGAGGGAATTCCAGGATCCAGTGACACTGAAGGAACAACAATATATTTCCAAATCAGGAGGAGAACTTGCAGGTGGTGGCTTTCCCATGTATCTGCTGCTTTTGTCCTTCTTCTGTAGCTATGGCTTTGGAAGGTATTGTTTAAGGAGCTTAGGTGAATTTCTGGCAAGTTAGGATGTTGAAGAGATTTTTAAGAGGAGTCTTGAGTCCATTGTGCAGCAGCCCATGCCAATTTTTATTCAGATCTCTTTACCAATGCAGCAAGGGAGAGGTCCTTGAAAACGGTTTTCACTGGACCCTCAGCCTTCCTCAGCCAAGTGCAGCACTTTTCTCCATTCTGGGTTACAATCATTACATGCAACATTGATGTCATTGTTACCCACATTTGCCCCAATCTAAACATCCAATCCTGTAAACACACGATCAATGATGGACAGCCCTAGGTCTTCCCATGATCTCATGATTACCAGACAATGTCTATCACCTATCTTTGGAATCTTGCATCTCATTCAATCACATTCCAATGCTGACAGTTATACTCCTTCCCAGACATTTGCCAGCTATATCATGTCAATTGCCACTAAACTAGAAACTTGCTTATCACTAATGACTTTTTGAATTTCTTTTTTACAAGTTATATTCTGTACTAACCTTATTACAAGAGATACAAAAGGGTGCTAATTTGTACTGATTGTTATAAAGGTTTGTAATTTCAGTTCCAATTAAAGTTGTATAGTCACACCTAATGTTGTTATAATTCTATGACAAAGCTAATAAATTGGTGAGCAGCTTCCTCTCTCTCGCGCGCTCTCTTGTTCTCTCACTCGAGCTCTCGTTCTCTCTCTCGCTCTCGCTTTCTTGCTCTCACTCTTTGTCACTCTTGCTGTCTCTTCCCCCACCCCCACCCCGCCGCTCTTTCTCTCTCCTCCTGCTATCCTTGGAAGATCAAACAATCATTATCTTGCAGCTGCAATTTTGAGTTCTGCTATTTGTGTTCTGTAAGTTCATTTTAAACAATGTTTTGATCCTTGGAAGAACCTTAAGTCTCTATTCTAAACTAAAAACTGAAAGAACTGCGGATGTTGAAAATCTGAAACAAAAACACAAATTGCTGGAAAATTTCAGCAGGTCAGGCAGCATCTGTGGAGAGAAATCAGAGTTAATGTTTCAGGTCCAGCGGCCCTTCTTCAGAACTGATTATAGCAATGAAAAGAATGGTTTTTATACAGAAGATAGAGTTGGCGGGGTGTGTGGTAGTGCACAGATAGAGCCCAAAAGAGAGAGAAATTGGTTGAACAGACAAAAAGGAGTGGTTAAAGGTCAGTCTGGGGGAAATGAATAGCTGCTGATTGGGATGATTAGTAACTGACAAGAGTGTGGTAGCAGCCCACGTGATGAAAAAGCCTAGTATGTGGGAGTGGAGGAAAACATGGGGAAAGGTGCTTACGCCCTAAAGTGATTGAACTCAATATTGAGTCCCAAAGGCTGCAGAGTTCCCAAGCGGAAAATGAGATGCTGTTCTTCCAGCTTGCACTGAGTCTTGCTGGGGTACTACAGCAAGCCCAAAACAGATGTTGGCCGGGGAATAAAGTGGTGTATTGAAGTGGCAGGCAACTGGAAGCTCGGACTTTTTTTGCAAACAGAACGTAGGTATTCTGCAAAGCAGTCGCCCATTTCTCCAATGTTGAGGAGACCAATTTGTGAGCAGCAAATTCAGGAGACTAGATTGATTGAAGTGCAGGTAAATTGCTGCTTCATCTGGAAGGTGTCTGTGGACCCTTGGATACTGAGGAGGGAGGAAGTAAACAGGCAGGTGTTACACCTTCTGCAGTTGCAGGGCAAGGTACAGTGAGGCCGTGGGGATGTGTTGAGAGTGAAGGAGGAGTGGACCAGCTTGTCCTGGAGGGAACAGTCCCTGTGGAAGGCTGACGGGGGAGGGGAGGCGCCTGCTGGAGGTGGTGGAAATGGGCTAATGATCCTCTGGATATGGATGCTGGTGGGTTCATGTGAGGACAAGGAGACGCTATTGCTTTTGGAGGAAAGAGAGGAGAGTAAGGGCCAAAGTGTGGGATGTCGATCAGATCAGACTGAGAGCCTTGTCAATTACAGTGAATCCTTAGATGAGGAAGAAGGTGGACATTTTGGCGGCCCCCTTATCATCAAAACAGATGCGACCAAGGTGGAGGAACTGGGAGAATGGAATAGTCTTTACCGGAAGCAGGGTATGAGATGTACAGTCAAGGTAACTATGGGAATCACTGGGTTTGTGGTGGATATTGGTGCCCAGCCTAACTACAGAAATGGAAACAGAGATGTCGAGGAACCAAAGGGAGGAGCCAGAGATGGACCAGGTGAAGCTGAGAGCAGGTTGGAAATTGGAAGTGAAATAGCTAAATTTTTCCAATTCCAGATGACGGAGGGAAGCAACACTGATGATGTCATCGATATACTGGAGAAAGAGTTGTGAGTGGGGACCGGATTAGAACTGGAACAAGGAATGTTCCACATACCCCACAAAGAAACAGGCGTAACTGGGGTTCATGTGGGTACCTATGGCCACCTCTCTGATCTGAAGAAAGAGGGAGGAGCTAAAGGAGAAGTTGGTCGGGGTGAGGACGAGCTCGGCCAGGTGGAGGAGGTAGTGGTTGATGGGGACGGTTCAAGCCTCTTTTCCAAGAAAGAGTATAGAGCCCTGAGAGCATTCTGATGGGGAATGGATGTGTAAACGTCCATAGTGAAGAGGAGGAGACTGGAGCCCACAAATTCTGAAGTTCTGAAACTGACGTAAAGCACCAGAGGAATCGCGGATGTAAGTGGGAAGGGAATGGACAAGGGGAGGAAAAGATGGGTTCTGTGGGGCAGAAGCAACCAGAAACAATGGGTCTGCCCAGACAGTCCTGTTGGTGGATTTTGGGAAGGAGGTAGAAGGGGGATTAAGAGACTGAGCTTGGAGGCAGTGATGGGGAGATCACCAGATGAAATGTGATTAGTAACTGTTGTGGACGAAATGGCCTGGTGTTCCATGGTCCAGGAGAAGATAGGAGAGGGTATCTGAGAGTTGGCACTCAGCCTCTGCAATATAGAAGTCAGTATGCCAGACAACAACAGCACCATGCTAGTCAGCAGGCTTGATTACAAAGTAAGAGTTGGATCTGAGAGCACGGCATGAAGTCAGTTCACAGATTGATAGGTTGGAATGGTTGGTGGGGGCAGAGAAACTGAGGTGACCAATGTCACATGGACAGTTCTCAATGAACATGTGCAGGTAAAAGGCCAGAGGGAGGGGTCCAGATGGAGGGAGTGTTGGAGGAGGTGAAGGGGTCTGTGGGATGGGGCGAGGACTTTTGTCCAAAGAACTGGGCACGGAGGTGAAGGTGACAAGAAGAAGCCCAATATTTATTGAGGTGGGGATGCAGAGGGATAAAACTGAGCCCTTTGCTAGAGTATAGAATGTTCAGCATCAGAGAGCGGAAGGTCAGGAGGCATAGTAAATACACAACAAGAGGTGGGGTTGAGAGGTGTTGGAGTCAGAGGGAAGGGGAGGGGAAAGAGCTTCTGGAGGGGCATGGATATCTCTGAATTGCTGCATCTTGTGAGGATCTTTCCTTGATGCCTGAAAGGAAAAGGAAAAGAAAATGTTCCTTGTTAGAACGTTGAATGAACCAGAGGATGAAGTGGAACTGGGGGTGATGGGGTTTGTGGTGGGGGTAAGGCAGCTTTGAACCAGCGTGAGGCAGTGCTGATGGAGAGAGAGGTCGAGAGTGTTCATATGGCGACACATGGCACGGAGTGTGGATCTCAGGATGTGGCATGAACAGGCGTCTGAGGAACATCATGGAAATACCTATGATCCTGGATAGATTCAAAATAGGATGAAATTTTGAATTGGAATCCACATGGGATGAGTCTGAGCTGGAGTCAGTCACTGAGGAATGTGATGGGGCTGTGGAAATGAGTTTGGCAAACAAGTTTTGTCGAATACCAGGAGTGACAGCGAAAGTAATGATGGCGAACAAGAAAGAGAAAAAAGATCGGAATGGAAATCCTGTCGGAGAGAGGAGCAGAACTTCTCTGAGCTGGGTATACCTGGAAGAAGAACTGCGGATGCTGAAAATCTGAAACAAAAACAGAAATTGCTGGAAAATTTCAGCAGGTCTGGCAGCATCTGTGGACAGTTAATGTTTCGGGTCCTGTGATCCGTCTTAAGAACTGATGGTGGTTAGGAAAAGGATGTCTTTTATATAGAAGATGGCGTGGGGCTAAGGGAGTGTTAGCGGGGGAAATAAGCAAAAAGTGGAAATGCTGCTCCAAAAACACATGAGATGAGCCTGAACACCTATGGTCTGTTTGCCTGAAAGACCCTGAGCTTCCTGGTGCCTGCGACTTCGACATATCACCATGTTCTCTTTACTAAATAAGACAGCATCTGTTCCAATTCCATTGATGAGGGTGAAATTCAATCACTTTCACAACTTTACCAAGTTATTAAAGGAAACCTATTTGGATTCTCAATTTACAACAGGACACGACCTCACTCTCACCTTTATCTTGTAATTGGTCTCTGTCATTCTCTCCTTGATTTTTGTATGCAAGGATCTGCTCAAATTATCTACATCTGTACTAGGCTATTTGTTAAGCTGTAAAGCTACGATTTTTTATTGAAGTCACACGGACTATGATTTACAATGTCCTTATACCATGCTAATAACTGTCTCTTGGCGCTCTCTTAGAGATTATCTGTTTACACCATTTGTTGCTTCATCTTCCCCGCTAATGATGTGAGCCAGTCTTTACTGTCTAAGGCTTACTGCTCATAGGAATTCAGCTAAATCCCATCATACTAATTTGTAGGTTTGCATTTCTAATTTACAATTGCCGAACAAATTCGGAATACTGTGGGATCAGACTCTTCTTTTATGTTTTACTAAATAATAAACTTGGGACTGTGGTTAGTGCCCAGGTCTCTGTTATCTAGATTTCTCAAGGATGCTCCCTAACAAAATGCTTGTCTACAGAAATCTAATTAAATACCTTTGACTTTTCTCACCAGGACCCTATTATGATTCTCACGGGATCTTTCATTATCTTATCCAGTAACTCTGTATGGAGACCACAAGTCTGGCTGTGAAAGTCTGCAATATGTAGCTGCTAATTCCTTTTCAACCATCTTATGTCAGCTAAAAAGCTCTGGGCAGCTGTTTTATGTCAATAGAGGACTATACCATCACAATCCTGACTGTGCCTTGTAGATAGTTACTTGATGCAGGAGTCCTAGCCTCCAATCTGAAAGCACTGTATTTACACAGCTAGTCTAGTTCCTGGCCACTGGTTACTTGGTGCACTGTTGCTCCCATTCTGCCTTACAGTTTCTCATATTGTTATGTGTTACACAGTCAAAGGTCTTTCAGTCTGTATTCTGTACTTCTGAAACCTGATATTAAAAATGTGTTTAAAGGGCAATTTATTAATAAACTGATCAATGAAGGCTGTTGATGCATTTTGATATGGAAAATAAAGGTGAGATAGAGCTGTGGCCTGTGTTTACGATGATAAGCTTGCATTGACATTTGTCATAGCTGCGTTCAAACATCTAGTGTGAGCAATGTTTGCAAATCAAAGCTGCTGAAGGAGAGGGTAGTGACATCCAGAGCTTTAACAATCAGTGATGAACTCGGACATGTAGGTTAATATCTGGTTGGAATTGCACATGGAGAAACACTAATAGGATATAAGCTTAGTGTATGTTGGGAAATTTTAGGTGTTAAATAGAGACTGAAAGGAGAGGCATAGATTGGTCACAAGAAGCAAAGGTTACAAAGAAAAGGCTATCATGGAAATAAGTATCCAATGTTCTTTTCAAGTGGTAGTATGAGACAATATTTTACACAATGGGCATAGTTAACCTCTCATCCTCTGAAAATAGCAGGAAAAGGATTGTCAGGGCAGCAACTCATGTTAACTTTTAAAAGAGAAAAAAAAGTGATCAAACTTAAATTTACGTTGGTAAACACCATGAATACAAACCATTATTGTATAGTATCTCTATATTTAACTTATTATCATTTCCAGTTTGGACAGTTATTTCAATAAATAAAACTGTTGTCTGTTTGTTGCTCAGTATACATGTTGAGTGTTCAAATTAGTCTTTGTCATAGGTGTGTGGTCTCCAAGTTTTTCATAATGTATCACAGAAAACCTTGTTTCCTTGTCCTGAATTAGGCTGCCATCGGCTCTGTAGCTTTGGACATGGCACGAATTCGAAATGACAAAACAGCAACAGACTACGGTTTAAGTGTTCTCACTGTGGCCTTTCTGGGAATTCTGATCACGGCTCCCATCGGAGCAGTTATTATTGGCTTATTAGGACCAAAGCTGCTACATAAATCAAATCAGCAGGATTCAAATCATGGAGAAGGTCAGTCTTTTAAAAATTCAGAAAAATCTTTCAATTTAATATGTTTAGTGGAATAATCTAAAGCTGATATGTTTGCTGGGACCAGGGGGTGGGTTGGAGCGTCTATGCAGGACCAGACTTCCTAGATGGAGCATTTACAAGTGCGGTGGGGAGAGTTTAAACTAAAATTAGGGAGTGGTGGGGGGTTAGTTGGGAACATATCCAGAGAGAGACAGAAGAGAAGGAAATGAGGGCAAAAACAAAAGACAGAATGGGAAATAGGAAAAGTGACGGGCAGTGAATTCAAGGATAAGAATCAAACAAGATACTGTGCAAAATAATGCAAGTGAAACTAAGAATGTCAAAAAGACAAGCCCTAAGGCCTTGTGTCTTAATGCATAGAGTATTTGCAATAAAGTAGATGAATTAGTTGTGCAATTAGATATAAATGGGTATGATTATAGTCAGGATTACATAGACATGGCTGCTGCGTGACCCAGGGATGGGAACTGAACATTCAGGACTATTCCATTTTTAGGAAGGACAGATAAAAAGGAAAAGGAGGTGGAGTAGCATTGCTAGTTAAAAAGCCTACAACTCAATGGTCTCGGTGTAGACTTTACCAGTTTCAAAATCTCCTCATTCCATGACCAACCCTCCCTCTCATCCCCGCCTCCTTGACCTGACACAACCTGTCCATCTTCTCTCCCACCTATCCGCTCCTCCCACCTCACTGACCAATCCCCACCACTGCCTCCCTGCACTCACCTATAACCATCCACCTACCTTCCCTAGCCTCACCCCTCCTCTCTCTATTTATTTCGGAGCTCCCTTCCCCCTCCCCCATTTCTGAAGAAGGGTCCCGACCCGAAACGTCAACTTTCCTGCTCCTCTGATGCTGCCTGGCCTGCTGTGTTCCTCCAGCTCCACACTGTGTTATCTATGAAGAAATAAACTGGTCTTTTACAGAGTAGGATCCAGTGACCCCAGCTATTTACAATGTAAGTTAACGATTTAGATGAGGGAGCCAAGTGGAATGTCTCCATGTTTTCAGATGACACAAAGCTGAGTGGGAGGGTGAGCTGTGAGGAGGATGCAGAGAATCTTCAGTGTGACTTAGACAAGCTAAGTGAGTGGGCAAATACATGGCAGATTAAGTGAAGTTATCCACTTTGACAGCAAAAACAGGAAGGGTATTATCTGTAGATTATGAAATGAACTGGATAATGATATGCTACTGTCTCATTACTGGATCAACTCATGGCAGTTGCATTTTGCCTTCTTTAAGAGTCAAAATAGCAGGTCGAGACAATCTTCAGTGAATATATTGTATAGGAACAAGATTAAACACTTTTTTTTTAATGTGATATACTTTCTTACAAGTCTCCCAAAGCTCAGTTAGTACAATAACAACTTATTCTCCTACTGTCTTGAATGTTTGAATAGTGCAAAAAGGGAAGGCCATGAGAAGTGTTTCCTTTTAAAAGGTATGAGTGCATGCAAGAAAAGCATCTGATTTATGTAAAAGCATATTTAGATATGATCTCAAATATTTTGCTTCTCAAAATACAGGATAATCCCCCTTTCCATTATTTTTAGAATCATGGAATTTTACAGTACAGAAGGAGACTATTCATCCCATTGTGTCTGTCACACCTGAAAGAGCTACCCAGCTAATCCCATTCTCCAGTCCTCATCTCTGTCAATCTACCACTCTCCCAAGCGTGGCATTCTAAATCCTAACAACTCTGAGTAAAGCAGTTTCTCCACATCTCATTCCTAGCTGTCTCACTGTGACAGTCTTGAAATTGCGACCCCTAGTTACCGATATCCCAACTAGTAGAAACAGAATATTCTTCTTTATCCTGTCAAAATAGTTCATAATTTTGAACACCTCAATAAGGTCACCTCCCTGATCTTCTCTCCTCCAAGAATAAGCCCAATTTTTTGAATCTTGCCTTGTATCTACAATCCCTCATTCCCAGTATCATTCTTGTAAATCTCCTTCAGAATCTGTCCAGATCTTTAACATCCTTCCTTGAACTGAACACGATTATCCAAATGTGGTTTGACCAATGATTTGTAGAGGTGTAGCATCACTTCCTTGCTTCTATACTCAATGCCTGTATTTATAAACCCAAGGATCCTATGAGCCTTCTTAACTTAAATTAAAAAAAACAAGGACTGCGGATGCTGTAATGCCTGCTGAAAACCAGAAATAGCTGTAAAGGGTCTGAAGAAGGGTCAGTGGACCCAAAACATTAATTCTGCTTTCTCTCCATAGATGCCACCGGACATAGAGTCATAGAGATCTACAGTATGAAAACAGCCCCTTCGGCCCAACTTGCCCATGCCACCCAGTTTTCACAATTTAAACTGGTCCCGTTTGCCTGTGTTTGGCTCATATCCCTCCATACCTATCCCATTCATGTACGTGTCTAAATGTTTTTTAAGTTATGAAATTGTACTCGCTTCCACCACTACCTCTGGCAGCCTATTCCAGACACTCTCCAACTTCTATGTAGATAGAGTTGCCCCTCTGGTGCTTTTTGTATCTCTCCCCTCTCACCTTAAACCTATGCCTTCTAATTTTAGATTCCCCTACTATGGTAAAAAGTTGCCTGCTATCTACCTTATCTATACCTCTCATGATTTTATATACCTCTATGATGTCACCCCTCAATCTCCTACGCTTCAGGGCAGACAGTCCCAGCCTATTCCAACCTCTCTTTATAACACAAACCTTCCAGTCCAGGTAACATCTTAGTAAATCTTTTCTGCACTGTTTCTAGTTTAATAATATCCTTTCTATAGTAGGGTGCTGCATGCTGTACTCCAAATGTGGCCTCACCAGCATCTTGTACAGCTGCAACAAGACATCCCATCTCCTATACTCAGTCCTCTGACCAATGAAAGCTAGCATGCCAAAAGCCTTCTTCACCACCTTGTCTACCTGTGATTCCATTTTCAAGGAGCTGTGAACTTGTACCCCTAGATCTCTTTGTTCTATAACATACCCCCGGGCCCTACCATTGACTGTGCAAGTCCTACCCTATTTTGCTTTACCAAAGTGCAACACCTTGCATTTATCTAAATTAAACTCCATCTGCCATTCCACAACCCACTGTCCCAGTTGATCAAGACCTGGCTGCATTCCCAAATAATCTTCTTCACTGTCCACTGTTGAGTTTTTAAAGCAATTTCTGTTTTTGAGCCTTCTTGACTTTCCTGGCCATCTTCAGAGAATAAAGCACATGAACTCTGAGGTCCCTCTGCTCCTGTACTCCCCTCAGAGTTGTACCATTCAGCCTGTATTGTCTCTTTGTGTTTCTTCTACCAAAATGTATTACCTTATATTTCTCTGCATTGATATTCATCTGCCAGGTGTCTGCCCATTTGGCCAACTTGTCAATGTCCCTCTAAAGTCACTCAGCATTATCCTCACAACTCACTATTCTCCTCAGCTTAGTAACACATGCAAACTTAGAGGTTTTGCCCACAACACCTGTCTTCCAGATGGTTTACTTAAATCAGTACAAGAATGGTTTTGGAACCAATCTGTGGGCAACATCACTTTCAACACATCTCCAGCCTCAGAAATGCCCAACTGTACTCACACTCTCTTTTCTCTCTTTTCGCCAACTTCTACTCCATGCAGCCATCAATCCCAAACATTTCTAATTTGCTAACCAACCTGCCATGTGGCACCATATCAAATGCTTTCTGAAAGTCCAAATATACAACATCCACAGCATTACCCTCCACTGCCTGTGTCACTTCATCAATTTGTCAGACATGACCTGCCCTTGACAAACCCATGTTGACTGTCTAGTATTAACTTATTTTTCTCTAAGTGTATACTTACCTTACTCTGGAGTATGGCCTCCATCAGTTTTCCAACTATTGATGTCAAGCTGACAGGTGTGTAGTTTCCTGGGTTATCCTCTGCCTCTTTCTTAAACAACAGTGTCACATTTGCAATCATTCAGTCCCACGGAACTAATTCTTGTTCAGAGACGCCTGGAAAATTTCTGTCAACAGCTCTGTAATTTGTTCACTTGCAATCTAGAACACATCCCGTGGGCCTGATGACCTATCTACCTGGATTACTGCCAGCCCTTTTAGCTTCTCTTCTTCATCTGTCATTATACTGCTCAGTTGCTCAAGACCCAGACTTTCAACTGGGCCATTGTCACCATTTTCTAATTTGGTAAAGACAGAAGCAAAGTGCTAAGTTAGTACTTCTGCCATACCATTTGCTTAAGTGAGCCTGTTTGTTCCTTATGGGTCCCACTCTATCCTTCACCAATCTTTTACTATTAATATGTTTGCTCCATTTCACCTTTCAGACCCCTAAAATTGCCTTCTTCTAGTCTGGATCTTAATCTTTGACTGATTTTTATCCTTTTCCACACTAATATTGAACATCATTTACATTATAATTGCCTTTTCCCAAACACTCCCCTACTCTGACATTCTCCACTTTGCTCATTTCCTAGGACCAGATCCAGCACAGCTCCGTCCCTGGTCAGACTGGAAATGTACTGTTTCAGAAAGTTCTCCTGCATACATTGGAGGAATTTCTCCCTGTCCATGCCCCACGCTCAGCCTTTTTCTCAGTCTACCCTGGGGTAATTGAAAGCAACAAAGGAGATTAATTAGTTTGGTGTTTGTTGTTTGGTTTAGGAATGGTGGGCTGAAGGGTCTGTTTTTATGTTGTATGACTCTATGACTTGATAACTGCTTTTACATGACACTCTATGCTTGCATGAGCACAGAACCAGATTAAACACAGGAGGTTTCTGTTTATATAGAGGATTAGGGGCCTCTGGAATCAGCTGCCTCTTTATGCAGAGTATATATTTACTGAACTCATACAAAAGGGATTTCGATCAGTGGTTCCTCACTACAGCCGATCCTGCTGCACAAACAGTAGAAGGAATGTTAGTTGATGAACCTTTTTGACAGTTTGAGATCCTGGAGCTCATTCTGAGATAACAAGGTGTAGAGCTGGATGAACACAGCAGGCCAGGCAGCATCAGAGGAGCAGGAAAGCTGACGTTTCAGGTCTGGACCCTTCTTCAGAAATGCTCATTCTGGTTGCCTTCAAGTGTTGGAGAAGAATCTTCTCAATCATTGGCTTCATGTGTTTGTTACAAAATCTCTGGTGGCTACTGGCATGATTTGAAGCGCTTAGATTATCATATTCAAACTCTGCATAACTAACTAAGACAGCCTTCCTGGTCTTTCTCTGTTTGTTATTTTCATACATTTATATCATTGATGTGTGTTTTGTTCTGTAGGCATAGAAAGCAAGAACAGGACATCGCATGAACATCATCAAGGAGTGGAAAGTGAAATTGAAGTCTAAGATGTTCTCTGGATCTATATTAAACTTCAGAAGGATCTCTGTTGAATTTCAACAGACATGTGATTCTTGAATATCTCTGCACTTAACAGAGGAAATGGTTTTAAAGCTGTTTTATTAACTGTTGTACATTTTGTAGATTTATTTTTTAAAAGAAACTGTCTGGATTTACTGAAATACCTATTTGTTTGGAATTATTATTTGTGCAGAAATCAACGTGGGCATTTTAGACGTTTGTTTGACATTATGAAAGTATTTATGCAATCATCCTTAGATCAATGTTACTAGGGTTGTACCCAAAATAGCAGAAAGACCATAGCCATTAAATTGTTTTGTACCGCAGAAGCCCATGAGGTGATGATCATAATATAAAATAAAGAACTGCAGATGCTAGAGATCTGAAACATAATCAGAAATTGCTGGAGAAACTCAGCAGATCTGGCAACATCTGTGGGAAGAAAGTAGACTGTCACTGGATTCAAAACATTAACTCTGCTTTCCTCCCACAGACGTGGCAGACATGCTAAGTTCCTCCAGCTATTCTGTTTTTGATTCAGGCCACAATCATAGTTTGTATCTATTACTTGTGCAAGTTCCAATGGAATAATTAGTTCTAGTTATCACCACAGGCATCTGGATCATGGAAAATCAGAATCCAATTTTTATGTTGTGCTGTGACAATCGTCCCACTTCCTCTGTGTTCTATAAAGTATCTATTGGCTCCTCAACTGAAACTGTTCTGAAAGAGCTTTGTGTCTAACACTGCATGCCCAGTGATAGGTGCCAGTGCTGCTGCAGCTGGGAGCCAGGTCTGAGAAGCTATGGGAAAACTCTTGATGAGTACTGTAATCCGAGCTTCCTTCTTCTGCTTTTAAAAAAAAAATTAACTTTCTCTTTCTCGGTTCTGGAGTCCCAATCAGAATTCTATGGCTAAAAGGGCACAGCAGTTGATTTACTAGTGGATTTCCTCATTCTGAGGAAGGGTCACCAGACCCGAAATGTTAACTCTAATTTTTTTCTTCACAGATGCTGCCAGACCTGCTGAGCTTTTCCAGCCACTTTGCTTTTGTTGTTATTGTTGTTGTTGTTGTTGTGACAGTGGGTTTACTCTTAGCCCAATTAATGCAATAATAATTCATCACTGTACCAAAGCAATCCGGGTTGAAACGCCTCTTGGTATGTCTCCCTGTCTTAGTAACCAAATGAATTTTGGGAATCTGGAGTATAAAATGATTATAGCTGTTGTGATAGAATTGTATTTTTCTTTTTGCACTGGGCAGGTTGAATTTACAGCCATGGTTCATGCTGTTTTGTGTCTGCGCCTTTTTCCAACTAAGATAAACTGATGCATACAGCAGTTCAGGACACACGCCAGATGTTTATCTTTGTAATGGAACTAATTTTCTTTATGAATTACCTGTAAATACAATCTTCCACAGAAACACCATAAATTAATTTATTACTGGAAGAGTTTTATAAAAAGTTCAAGTCTTTCTCTTCCAGACTGAAAACAACAAATGCTGGAGATCACCATGGGTCAGACAGCATCCGTGGAGAGAGAACAAGCTAATGTTTCAAGTCTAGATGACTCTTCATCAGAACTGAAGTGAAGTGCTTCTAAAGTTAAGAATACAAGAACAGCAGGAAATGGTAAAATGTGCCATGGGGCAGCCTTGCCATTCTAACCACAGGCCTGAAAATACCAATGGATCACAATTAAATTGCATTAACTTAGTACATTACAAAATCAAAACTGCCCCACATTTATCCGTAAACTAGTAACTGCACTCAAAAGCCAACAGGTTGACTGATATGAGAAGTAGAACTTGCTATACTTGAAGATTAAGCGAAAGCAATGCTTTTCCAGCACATTGGACCTTCATTCTGTACAGCATCTGATATGAGAGTATTTATCAAATAAAATTGTCTCAACATATTAATTAGGTATAATTACCAGTTCTGGTCATGAATTGTGGAAAGGATATTAATTATAATTAATAGATTATATATTTTGTAAAGGAGTAACTTTCTTATCCAGAAAGTGGTAAGATGTGAAATTTGCTACTACATAGAGTCCATAAGGCAAACAGCAGAGATGTATTTAAGGGGAAACTAGATTAATACATGAGGGAAAAAGAAGTCAAAGATTCTGCTGTTAGTGAGACCAAGTAGGGTGTGAGGGGACTGATGTGGAGCATAGGCTATTACTGTTTGTGTGCTGCACATTCTACATATAGAATACAATAAAGAAGTAAACATGATTCTGGGTATTAACTTGTCGGGACAAGTTCTGTCAGATAAGCCACTTTTCTCTGGAAAAGAAAAAGTCTTGGAGGTACCAACTTAATATTTCCATTTATAAAGAGGTTTTGAAAATTTATTGGGCAATCGATGTGCAAGGCAAAGTTTCAAGGGTCAGAAGACATGGCAAATAGAAATAAAACAGAAACCAAGTAGAATGCTGTCTCAATGATGCTAAACCTGTGGAATAAATTATCAAGAAGAATATTGAATTGTACTATCAATTGGATTCACCAAATTGTATTTGTTTTTGATGCTGTTTGAAGCTAGCATATTTTTTCTGTTCCTAAAAATTATGTGCTTGGTGCTGGCTTACATTTCAATCTAAAGTTAATTTAAAGTTAAGATATATGCTAATTTGTGCTTTACACATATATTTTGCATAAATATGGTCGACATTTTTAAAGTAAATATTCCACCAAATTCAATATTTTCAATTTGTGGTTATTTTGACAACGCCAATAAAATATTAGAAAGAAACTACCAAATTATTTTCATCTGGAACACAGCTTGCGTTGGTCTAAGTGATTTATTTTAAAAATTAAAACCTCTCATTACAAAGTTCATGCTCCGTGCATTTTCATGTTAAGATTTCTTTCAACCTAATTTTGTGCTGTTTTTGCCAAGTGAAATAATTGTAACTGGTGGGTGAGAAGACTTTTTTCAATATTTGTTCATGGGATGTGATTCTCTGTAGCTGGACCAGTATTTAATGCCTATCCCTTACGGTTAAGTGTCAACTACAATGCCATGGGTCTGAAGTTACATGTAGACCTGATCAGGAAAGGGCAGCAGATTTCTTTCCCTAAAGGGCATTAGTGATTTTTTTAATGACAATCGATGATGGTTACATGGTCACCATTAGACTGGCTTTATTTTTTATTTTTATTGAATTCAAATTTTACAATCTGTCGCAGTGGGATTCAAACCCATGTCCTAAGAACATTAGCCCAAGGTTCTGGATTGCTAGTCTTGTGATATTACCACTAAGCTACCACCTCCCCCAAATAAAAGCAAATACTGCAAAATGCTGGAGACCAAAAATGTTGGATTCAGCATTACATCTATTTTTCTGTTTATACATTCTGCCAGAGCTGCTGAGTTTCTACAGCTCTTTGTTTTTAATGTCCAGATTACCTGTCTGATGAATTGGGTGCAAAACCGTTTTAGGATTGTGCCCAATTCATTATTGCATCTGTTGGATGGGTGTGAAATCTGGCAGGTTGCTTGCACCTCTTAAAGGCAAGGTGCACTTTTATGAGGTTTGACATTGGGATAGTTTCTCCTGTTCAAGCAGATGCTGACTGGCAAAAGTCTTCAGGTTTGCAACGCTATCCTGGAGGAATTTAAGGAGCAAATTCCCTTTGCTTAGACAGTTGGTTATAAAACTGAGATATTTAAAATATATTTGATACAGTCATTGTAGAAGAACTGTTTCCTTGGTTTGGGGAAACAGAACAAGAATGAATAATCTTAAAAGTGGGGATGATCATTTAGCAGTGAAATTAGGAAACGTTTTTCCTCACAAACGGTAGTGAAAATCCAGAACTCGTTCCCCATGAAAAGCTGAAGGCCAATTAAAATTTTGAAGACTGGGATATTTTCTGTTGGGTAAGAGTATCTATGAACCTGGAACAAAGATGGATAAATGGAGTTGAGGCATAGATCAGCTGAGATTTAATTCAATGATGATGGTCAGGTTCTGAACGACTGCAGTGGCACTTATAAAGTAGGCTGTAGGCTGAGATATTAGGAACTGCTGAGTCTGGAGAATCTGAGACAACAAGGTGTAGAGCTGAGTGAACACAGCAGGCCAAGCAGCATCAGAGGAGCCGGAAAGCTGACGTTTCGGGTCTAGACCCTCCTTCAGAAATGGGGGAGGGGAAGAGGATTCTGAAATAAATAGGGAGAGAGGGGGAGGCGGATAGAAGATGGATAAAGGAAAAGATAGGTGGAGAGGAGACAGACAGGTCAAAGAGGCGGGGGGGGTGAGCCAGTAAAGGTGAGTGTAGGTGGTGAGTTTGGGAGGGGATAGGTGAGTCCAGGGAGGGGGGACAGGTCAGGGGGGCGGGAGGAGGCTAGTAGGTGGGAGATGGGGGTGGAGTATCAGGTGGGAGGAGGGGATAGATGGGAGGAAGGACAGGTTAGGGAGGTGGGGACAAGCTGGGCTGGTTTTGGGATGCGGTCGGGGGAGGGGAGATCCATGTGGACTTCATAAGCTTCAAAATCTCCCCTTCCCCGACCGCATCCCAAAACCAGCCCAGCTTGTCCTTCCTCCCACCTATCCCCTCCTCCCACCTCAAGCCCACCTCCATCTCCTACCTACTGGCGTCATCCCACCCCCTTGACCTGTCCGTCTTCCCTGGACCAACCTATCCCCTCCCTAACTCCCCACCTACACTCACCTTTACAGGCTCCATCCCCGCCTCTTTGACCTGTCTGTCTCCTCTCCACCTATCTTCTCCTTTATCCATCTCCCCCTCTCTCCCTATTTATTTCAGAATCCCCTTCCCCTCCCCCATTTCTAGACCTGAAACATCAGCTTTCCTGCTCCTCTCAGGCTCTAGGCTGACTTGCTGAGACCCAAATCAATCTGATGGACTAAATCTCTTTGTTCCTATATACAGGTTTGTATGGCCTGTTCGTACAGGACATATGACAGTGTGCAGTCCACTATGGAGTTTATGATCAGCCTAATGGACTCTGATGCTGGACCATCCATGTAGAAATTTCTAGCACAAGCTCTATAACCTCCAAGTATGTTCATTACTGGCATTATGCAGCATTTGTGCTGCACAGCTTTCCTGTAGGTCTGTGGGAGTGGTAGAAAAATTTTTGAAAAATGCTGATAATTCTGAAAGATCAGCAACCAGATGTAGGGGGAGAAACTGAGTATCAGCGTGGAACATTAACTCTGGCATTGGAACTGGGAATAGTTAGGAATGTTACATGTTTTAAGTAAATAAAAAGTTGGAAAGGGCTGTAGTAGAATGTGAAGGAAGATCTCTGATTGGGTAGAAGAAATTAAATGACAAAAGGAATCATGGTGCAAAGTGAAGTGAGATGCTAATGGAACAAGTGATAAGGAAAAAATGTGACTTGATGATACACAAATGGGACCAGTAGAATCATTACTGATAACAGTTACTATTTGGAAAGAAGTAGGCCTGTTTACCATTAGAGTAGGTTTCAGGATCCTCCCCATAATACATCTCGCTTTTGTCCATAGTCTGTAAATAAGGCATAGCCCAGAGTGTCAGCACAATTGATAGCAGTCATCTTGACCCCAAAACACAAATTTGGCTTCTTTAAAAAACCCTGATCAGGAAGAGGTAAAAAGCTGCAACAGATACAATTTTGCACCTTTGTTCTGAGTAATGAACAAGGTGTTGATTCATCTATCCATGAAAGCTGCAGTCAATGTGAAAGAGCCACTGATCTTTGGAGTTTTGCTTGCCTGAAAAATATTCCAGATCCTTTCTAGCACAAGTTTTATATATACTGCTGTGTTGCCAACATATTGTCTGAACTATACTAAGAGCAAAAGAAAAATGGTTTTGACTTCAAGGCAACATTATATCTCATTGAGATCAGAATCACAGATGTGATGAACGGTAGAGTTAATGGTGACATGCTAATTTAAGTTTTTAGTCTTGTAACAAATACCAGACACTTAAAAAAATTTTTTATTCATATTATCTAACATTACAAGTAGTATTTACTGTAAGTTTCTGCTCCCTGTAACAGTGGGCCATGGCAAACAGTCTTACAGGATGTGTCAGTTTTCCTTAAGGATGGATTTTGGTAGTTAGGGCAAACTGAAAAAAGGGTCTAGGCCCGAAACGTCAGCCTTCCTGCTCCTCTGATGCTGCTTGGCCTGCTGTGTTCATCCAGCTGTACACCTTGTTATCTCTGAAGTAATTGAACCATGGTTTCATCCTAAGTGAGGAAAAATTATCATTCATGGAATCAGCAAAAGATGCTCAAGGCATGTGTACAGTTCTGCATTGTCAGTACGAGGAGGTAAGTATCAAATTAAGAAACAGAACCTCAAAGGTGCAGATTTCTGTGTTATTACCTGATCCATCTGCATGTTGGCACAGGGCAAATAAGATTAGTAGGTTCCAATTCATTAAGCACTGGCAACAATACTAGGAAAAGTTAGGTCTGTACTGATGGGATTACTTCTACTCCAATCTGGGGCTGGGGCTAATGTTCTTCAAAGCCACATAACTAGGGAAGCAGAAAGATTTTTAAACTTATTAGTGAGAACCAGGGATCAAATTTGGGACGATCAGAATTAAGACAAGGCAAAAGAAAGAGATACTAATAAAGGAAATAATAAACTGTCCAAGAAAGGATACAGAGTACAAATCTAAGAGTAGATCAACACAAAAGATTAGAGGTTGCAATAATAATAAATTTATCGATACTATTTGAACGCACACAGTACTTTATGCAAATAAACTGAGACTACAAATAGAAATGAATGAATCTGATCTAGTAGCCATTAGAAGGACATGGTTCCTGCAAAAGGCAATAGAGTCAGGCTTGTGTTCCTGAAAATAGTGACTCTGATTCCTTTGAAAAACAATGCTTCATGATGTTACAGTCAAAGTTCCAGAGAATGTTTTTTAAA